GGGGGGGGGGCGCGCGCCTCCACATCTGGATCATTAGCTAAACACGGTTTGTTACGCATTTCTGAGGAACTTTTTCCAGCCTTTTCTCTCATTTTCTCTCCACTTTTTGCGTTCTTTCTTTCTCTTTTTTTGTTTGTTAAACCTCCTTAACTCAGATAAACAATCCCTAACTCAAGGGATGAGCCTGTCTCACAGACACATCACTTCTTCCGGTTTCTTTTGTTGAAGAAAACTCAGTCTGACAGGAAACAGGATTTCTGATTATTCCCGATTATCTGATGGATGGAAACTGGAAAAAAAAAAGAGCTGAGAGATAAATCCTACTTTCTTAAGTTTATTTACTAAGTTTATAGTTTCTTTCTGGGGGTGAGTAAACAAACTTCTGTTATCTCACTGATAAACAAACATCAGAACCTCTCAGGTGTTCCGAACATTTCTTTATTTTTGCCCAAAACAGGCGATTCATTTTTCACCTTTTACAGAAAAAATGTTGTTATTTGTTAGTTCTGAACATGCTTTATGTAAATATTACATAACATAAGTGCTAGTTTTTCTATCTTAAAGAAAAAAGAAGGCATTTTTGAAGAAGAATTGGGATTCAGACCTGGACGGAGTAACGTTTTCTTTACATTCCTGCCCAATCTTTACAGAAAGTCTCCAAACAGACAGACACAATGAGGGAATTTGGGCCTAAAACGATTCAGTCGTCACTAAAAACAAACATTTTAATTCTAAAGATAAACCCACTGAACTTCTATGAAGATGGACACAAACACAGAGATTCTAATCAAAAAGAGATTTATTTGTATTTTTTTCCAAAAACTCAGAAGATCCAAAACAGAAGTTCAAGGGCATTCAGACATAAAAAGTACAGAGGATCCGAAATAAGAACAAAACATGTTTGGTTACACAAAAAGTTCTCCTAAACATAAGAAGCCCGAAAAAACGTAGAGCATTAAAAGTCTCCGAACGCCACGAAAAAGAGTTCAAAGTAGCTCACAGAAGAAAGGGACTCAGTGCCTAACAGACAGAAACCAGAACGTAAATACAGACTAAAGCTTCACCAGATATCCAGCTCTGTCCACATCCAAGTCGGCCATTTTGATTACGTCAGCAATATGAAAATCCCAGGCAAGAAAATCGGCTCAACCTGGTGATAGTTTGGTAAAGTCCAAACAAGTTTAACCCAAAAATATTGATTTCTCACAATTATGAAGGGTGGAGGGGTTAGGGTTAGGGTGAGGGTTAGGGTTGTGTTTAAGGTTAGAGTTAGGTTAGGTTTAGGTTTAGGTTTAGGTTTAGGGTTAGAGTTAGGGTTAGGGTTAGGTGTAGGGTTAGAGTTAGGTTAGGTTTAAGGTTTGAGTTGGGGTTAGGTAGGTTAGGGTGAGGTTTAGGGTTAGGGTCAGAGTTAGGGTCAGGGTTAGGGTCAGAGTTAGGTTCAGGGTTAGGGTTAGGGTCAGGGTTAGGTTTAGGGTTATGTTTAGGGTTAGGTTAGGGTTAGGTTTAGGTTTAGGGTTACAGTTTTGGGTTAGGTTTAGGGTTTGGGTAGAGCTAGGGTTAGGTTTAGGGTTAGGGTTAGAACATCATTTCTCTTCCGATTTCATATAGACAGTAAAGTTTCGTTTCAACCTCAGAAAGCTGCTACTAGTCACATGACCTAATCAAAATGGCCGACTTGGATGTGGGAGGAGTCGGATATCCAGCCAAGGCTGCAGCTCAGAAGCGGAGGTCCTTGGGGATTTCCCAGGGAAAGTCCCTCCGGCCAAAGTGTCCGTAGCAGGCGGTCTTCTGGTAGATGGGCCTCTTCAGGTCCAGGTCTCTGCGCGGAAACAGGAACCAGACGCTTTAAAACCTAAAATATGGTCATCCAAACAAAAAAAAACAGGTGTCTGCCTAAACCTAACGTATCCTATTCTTATCTTTTCTGATCCACTCAGCAGATCATCATCAAACTGTAACTAACGAGTGATTCTGCCATCCACAAAATGAATATTTAAAAGGAACTTTTTGATGATGGAGATTCAGATAATAACTGATCCTGCAATTGATTTTTTTTTTTTTATTAACTCATTGACTGCCAGAGTCTTTTGAGCATTTTGACAGATTTTTCAAGAGCCACAGAATAGTTTGTGCTATGACTATGTAAACACCGAACACACCAAAAGAAAGAGTAGACTCTCTTCTTTCATCAGGAAAAAAAAATTGTTTCTACCTTATTCCGTTCTTCCTGGACTTGCGTCTCACCGGCGACATGTTCTCTCATAGAACCGTTACCTTTTTCTTATTTGCCTACAGTCTATGCTCATCTCCCATCAAAAGTGGCACTGCCCCCTAGAGGGTCAATTTGTTACTACATACTCTGTCTAGAAGCTGATATTTACGGACAAGCTTTAGCAGATCGTCCCCCAGCCACTCGCGTTGAAAAACATAAAAGACGTCTATAGACGTCTTTGGCAGCCAATGAGTTAAAAGCAACTTGTTGATAAGGGAGATCAAGATAATAACTGATCTTGCAATTGAGCATTTCTTTTGTTATTAGAGAATTTAAGAAAACGTCTTTATCGTCAAGGCGTTGTCATAGCAACTTATCAGAGCAATCAGGGAATCTTTAAAAACAGAAGCTGCCGCCTCTTTTGTTGTATATTTTATGTTATGTTATGTTATATCATACTAGTGTGTGTTGCATAACACTGCTTAGGATGTGGATGTAACGGGAATCCTAAAAGAAAAGCACTGTTTGAGTTTCATTCTTGTATGCTTGTCCCATTCTATTTAATAGTGAGAACGCCTACAGGCATTCTCACAATTGTTTTCCTGTTTCTCTTTATTATTCTTTATTCCGTACGTTTTTCTGTGTCTAACTACTCCTACACCTTTCAGCCTATTTCAACAAATAAGGTATCAAAATGTTCAGCTATATCTCAGATCTATACACTTTTGGTGTTCAAATCTTTTCAACTTTTTAAGATATTTAACTTTTTATGCCTTATTCCTCTCATTGAAATGAATGGAGCAAAGAATATGGCTCCATCTGCTGCTCACTGGCATTTCAGCCCCTTCACATTTTTCCTATTTATTCCTCTGCCGCCCTGTGGTATAGCCCAGTGGTATAGCCCAGTGGTATAGCTAGCCCAGTGGTATAGCTCAGTGGTATAGCCCAGTGGTTTAGCCCAGTGGTATAGCTCAGGTGTGTATCTCAGTGGTATAGCCCAGTGGTATAGCTCAGTGGTATAGCCCAGTGGTGTATCTCAGTGGTATAGCCCAGTGATATATCTCAGTGGTATAGCTCAGTGGTATAGCTCAGTGGTATAGCCCAGTGGTATAGCCCAGTGGTATAGCCCAGTGGTATAGCTCAGTAGTAGAGCTTTTGACTGCAGATCCAGAAGTCGCCGGTTCAAATCTTTCAAATGATTCCTCCATTCAGCCTTATTTTTCAACTCTTCTGCTTCCATTCTTCTTCAACTGTTCAGTTCTATGTCTTTTTCAGCTTTTCTTTGGTTTCTTCTCCTTCTTCCTTCATTCAGCACTTGGTATTCTCCCAGCTGGAACAGCCATATGCTAGTTTTTTTTAGGATTTTTAAAAAAGTTTTTGAATGAATGATTAAGAAAAACCCACAGCTCCAGACATGGAGCTGAATACTATCTGCAGTTTTGTCTTATACCGTTTGATGATAAACCAATGACACCACTCCTCCGGAGTGGGCGGAGCCTGAGGAGTGGGTGGGCGGAGCCTGATGTTTTTGAAAATGTTTTTGAATGAATGATTAAGAAAACCCACAACTCCAGACATGGATCTGAATACTATCTGCAGTTTTGCTTTATACCGTTTGATGATAAACCAATAAACCAATGACACCACTCCTCTGGGGGAAGAGCCTGAGGAGTGGGCGGAGCCTGAGGAGTGGGTGGGCGGAGCCTGAGGAGCGGGTGGGCGGAGCCTGATGTTTTTTAAAAAGTTTTTGAATGAATGATTAAGAAAAACCCACAACTCCAGACATGGATCTGAATACTATCTGCAGTTTTGCCTTATACCGTTTGATGATAAACCAATGACATCACTCCTCCGGAGTGGGCGGAGCCTGAGGAGTGGGTGGGCGGAGCCTGATGTTTTTTTAAAAGTTTTTGAATGAATGATTAACAAAACCCACAGCTCCAGACATGGATTTGAATACTATCTGCAGTTTTGCCTTATGCCGTTTGATGATAAACCAATAAACCTATATCACCGCTCTTCCGGGGGCAGAGCCGGAGGAGTGGGCGGAGCCTGGGGAGTGGGCGGAGCCTGAGGAGTGGGTGGGCGGGGCCTGAGGAGTGAGTGGGCGGAGCCTGACCTGACGATGACCCCCGGCCGGAGGTCGAAGTTCTGCTCCACGATCTGCAGCAGCTCCTTCTCGTTCCTCTGAGAGGAGCCGAAGGTGAAGAGCGAGATGGAGAGAGGGCGGGCCACCCCGATCGCATAGGCCACCTGAAAGCACGCCAAAGGGGGCGGAGTCAGACTCCACAAACCGCACCCCCCATCTGGGTTTAAAGCCATCATGTCAGGGTCCTAACGGACTACTGGAAAACAAAAAAATACTGAATCTATGATTTAGAAATACTTATAGATACTGATTTACCTTATCTACTATCTCTGGATTTTAGGCCTCATTCTGGGTTAACCCTTTAAAGCCCGATCCAATAATAAAACGAGCAATTCAAAACAGTTTTAATGTCTTCTTTTCTGCAAACGTGAGCATTTATCATCAAATAAAAACACAGTTTAACCCTTTAAAGCCTGATCCAATAATAAAACAAAACAGATACATTTTTTTTTTGGTTTGAATTCCTTATTTGGCCTTTTAACAAAATATGTAAAAAGAAAAAACAGAAATACATTTTTGATATTAAGAATTTATTACTATGCGATAAGTCAAGATTATTTTTTGTGTAGTCTTCTGCCCCCTGTTATCAGGTGTATCTGATTGTGTACAATAGGATTTTGAGCAAAGTTTTTACCATTAAATTAAGCAAAAGGAGTCAGACGCAAAACATTTCAGAGACTGTATGAATCAGATATGATACATTTGGCATTACAGGGTTAAGTGGGGGTGGTTCAGAAAGCTACGTACAAAAGTACCAAGAATGTGCTTTTGCACATAAATTTTGAATCATATGGAGCCCTAAAAACACTTGTTTTCTTTATCTTTCTATCAGGCTGCAAAGTAAGATTCTGACAAAAGAGCAAAGAAATCCTGTTAAATCTAGATAAACTTCTATTAAGAGTCAGTTTCATTCAAAGCCCCCCCCAAAAAATACACTTTTTTTTCTTTTTTATGCTTTTGTTTTTCAGTTCCCTGGAGCTTTATGTGTTTTTTCTCCTTTTTTTTCTGGGCCTGGAGTTTTTACTTTATACTGAGCATCATTCTACCTCCAAACATCAAAGATGTCTTCAAGAGTTTCTTCAAGAAACTCTTGAAGACCCCCCTCTTCAAAGAGCATCCTAACCCTTACCCGTACCTCTACCCCCCCCACAGCTCCTTCTGTAGTCCCTATACCTCTATCTCTATCTCACCACTGACTCTGATCAGTGTTTCTCCTCTGGATAGATTATTGTCATAGTGATGATAAATGTAATATTGTGTCTACTCTGTAAGTCGCTTTGGATAAAAAAGCGTCTGCCAAATGCATAAACAGAAACATAAGATGAGGCCACATAATTTCACATATTTTCATCAGAAAATGCAGTTAGAGATCAATCTGTCCTAACCCAGAGGGGAAAATGCTCGACGTGGACGCCTGAGACAGCCTTTTAAAACGGGTTGGGTCAAAGGTCAAAGGTCAGGGCGCTGTCTGGGCCGAGGCAGATGGCCGTCCACCCTGAGCCATGGTTCTGCTCGAGGTTTCTGCCTGTTAAAAGGAAGTTTTTCCTTGCCTGTGTCGCCTAGTGCTTGCTCATGGTGGGAACTGTTGGGTTTCTGTAATTATCTTCAGAGTAGGTCTGACCTGCTCTGTTTGGAAAGCTGTGAGACAACTGTTGTTGTGATGTGGCGCTATATAGATAAAATTGAATTGAATTAATTCTAATTTTGTAATGTCATTGTCTGAACGTGTGTTTGGACTGATTTTGTATTTTGGGATTTTGTGTTGTTTGGTGTTCCTGCCTCAGGACGACAGATGTAAACTAGCAACTATGCTAGAATCTGGCTTATTTATTTACAATCTGTATGAGATTGTTCATTAATGTGCACTGTCCTGATTAAAGAAATAAATAAATAAATAAAAATAACATGTTTTAAAGCTGCTCTGGACCTCTTTATGGGAGCTGTTCTATGTTTAAAAGCTGCTCTGGACCTCTTTATAAGAGCTGCTCCATGTT